GTCTTTATTTTACAGTTAAAATATATGTTTATCAAATAAAGTCTAATGTTACAACTAATCATGGATCCCTTTAAGGGCCTGGATTATGAGTCAGTAGGTGGAAGAAGTTCTGCTCTATGTGCCTTCTATAACCTTTACTTAATTACCCCCCTCCCACCTTCAGTATACCAAACAATGGTAACTTAGCACAAAATGTAAGGAAAATTGTTTGGTAAATTATTTATTTTTTTTAACAATGTTCCTTGGCAATAAATCTTACACTGTTGGAAAGCCTGTTCATTTCTCTTTTAAATTATGCCACATTTGTAAGGAACATGCATATGTGGGATGAGCAGTGGAGCTGAGTATGTGGGATGCACACATGAAAAATTAGCCAAATCTTCTCTGCCAAACTGCTTTTTTAGCTGTTTTTATTGACACTTGTTTTGAGCTTCTGGTAGCCCACAGGTGCTGATAATCTACCTGATTGGCAGCATCTGTGAGCATGGGCCCTGCTTGCTCCAAGYCATGCTTGACCTGGATAAGGTCTGTGTGATGGGGCAACTTCAAGCTGGCGTTCRGCAAAACCAAGTTGCTGCATTATTTASAGTGAGCCTTAAGGCTTCTGCGTGCTGCACCTGAACTGCTGAAATCGTGCATGTGCATGATGAAAATTGCGTCAATCTGTTTGCAGTTTTGAATCTGCCGCCCCCTACCTGATAGGAGAACTATTTACCACCTTCCACATAGGAACTTACTGTGTGACTGGTCAGAAGTTTGTGGCTTTGTTTGTGCTGAAAGTGCTATGACGCTGCATTTTGCTTCAACTACTCGATTCCAAAAACTACTCACTGTTGTACACAGAAGCAGACATTTACAGCGGGTAAAATAATTATTGAACACGTCAACATCTCAGTAAATATATTACTAGAGGTGCTAATGACATGAAATTTTCACCAGATGTTGGTAACAACCCAAGTGATCCATACATACAAAGAAATCAAACCATAAATGTCCAGAAATGAAGTTATTTGTAATAATGTGGAATGGCACAGGGAAAAAGTATTGAACACATGAAGAAAGGGAYGTGTAAAAAAGGCATGGAAAGCCAAGACACCAGCTGAACTCTCTCAGTAATCAGAAAGCAAACCTGCCCCTTGTCAGTGCAAGTTAATATCAGCTGGTTCAGTCCCAAATGATGYCCAGGTATCACACAAGAACCATCTGATGATGGGTAAAAGTAAAGAGCTCTCTCAAGACCTTCACAACCTTATTGTTGCAAAGCATAATGATGGCATCGGTTACAGAAGAATGTCTAAACTTCTGAAGGTTCCAGTGAGCACTGTTGGGGCCATAATTCAGAAGTGGAAAGAACATTATTTCACCATAAACTGACCACGACCAGGTGCTCCTCACAAGATTTCTGACAGAGGAGTGAAAAGAATTATCAGAAGAGTTGTCCAAGAGCCAAGGACCACTTGTGGAGAGCTTCAGAAAGACCTGGAATTAGCAGGTACGATTGTTTCAAAGAAAACAATAAGTAATGCACTGAACCACCATGGCCTGTATGCACGCTCACCATGCAAGACTCCACTGCTGAAGAAACAGCATGTTGAAGCTCCTTTAAAGTTTGCTGCACAACATTTAGACAAGCCTGTGTAATACTGGGAGAATATAGTCTGGTCAGATGAGACCAACATTGAACTGTTTGGATGCCAGAATACACATCATGTTTGGAGGTCAAATGGCACTGCACATCAGCCCAAAAACACCATACCAACAGTGAAGTTTGGAGGTGGGAACATCATGGTGTGGGGCTGTTTTTCAGCATATGGTACTGGCAAACTTCAAATAATTGAAGGAAGGATGAATGGAAAAATGTACAGAGACATTCTTGATAAAAATCTGCTTCCATCTACCAGGATGATGAAGATGAAACGTGGCTGGACATTTCAGCAAGACAATGAGCCCAAACACAAAGTCAAGGAAACTCTCAGTTGGTTTCAGAGAAAGAAACTAAAGCTGCTGGAATGGCCCAGCCAATCACCTGACCTGAATCCAACAGAAAATCTATGGAAAGAACTAAAGATCAGAGTTCATAGAAGAGGTCCACGAAACCTTCAAGATTTGAAGACTGTTTGTGGAAGAATGGGCCAAAATCACACCTGAGCAATGCATGCCACTAGTTTCTCCATACAGGAGGCGTCTTGAAGCTGTCATTGACAACAAAGGCTTTTGTACAAAGTATTAGATACATTTCAGTGAGTGTGTTCAATACTTTTTCCCTGTGCCATTCCACATTATTACAKATAACTTKATTTCTGGACATTTATGGTTTGATTTCTTTGTATGTATGGATCACTTGGMTMMTWKCGACATCTGGTGAAAATTTCKTGTCATTAGCACCTCTAGTAATATATTTACTGAGAAAAATGGTGACGTGTTCAATACTTATTTTACCCGCTGTATATGTCAAACAAACAAAAGCTTATGAATGGAGATTAAAAAAATAGATGTTTTGCAGAAAAGTGTGGAGCTTTAACCAGGACAGATTTATGTACAAAAAATGGTGGATAGGAGTTTGATTTTTCCAGAGTGTAGACTTCTGTGGAAAGGAATCCTGTGCAGTGCAGTGGGGCATATAACGTGTCAGGCTGTTGTGGCTGTGTATGGTTGTTCCACACGCTATTGAGGCTCCTGTCAAAAGAATAAATTGTTAATATGTCCTGTTTCTTCAAAATGCAATGATCCAGTCCACTTAACACCAAATGAGTCATTGGCAGAGAGGATATGGACAATTTTTCATGTGCACAGCTCACATACTCAGCTCTGCTGCTCATCACATAAATGCATGTTCCTTACAAATGTGGCACCAATCAAAAGGGAAATTAACCAACTTTATATGATTTATTGCCTAGAAACATTGTTACAACATAGAGTTTTATTTTGAACAGCTTTAAATAATCTTAGTAGTGAATAAGATTCGCTCAGTGACAAAACCTAATTATCCTTTATTCAGATTAAAAAGTTATGATTTGCCATTATTAGCTGAGCTGGAATAACTTTAACAGCTGTTGGGTCACAGCAAGAGTCTAGAATTATTGGTTCATATAAATTTTATATTTGTATCAAAAGAAAGAGCCAACATAAATAAAGATAGTCAAATCTAAACTCTTTTTGTGCACGCTTCTTGAAAAAACCAGAGTTAATATTAAGAGTAAAGCTGTTTCTTCAACATTTCTGAGTAAAACTGATCAGAGGACAATCAGTTCATTAAAAGCTGAACCGTTTGACACCAACTGCAGAATCACTGATTAGAGCTAACTGAGATTGTTAGAAGTCTTTATGACATCATAATAAAAGTGATACCGGTTGTCTCTTTGGTGTCTTAGGTGACAAAAAAAAGAATAAATAAATAAATAAATGAGGAGTTCAGCAACAGATGTTACAACCTGTTACTGAGTTACTGAGACAAAACCTTTTAGACCTGCTAACCTCAGAAACTAAGTCAAGACAAACCGGTTTGACAGGRCGAGGGTTCTTCTGGACTTTGTGAGATTAAATCCGTTGGAGTTGTTGCGTAAGCGWTGTACTGTGGGCTCACCCCACGGCGTGTGACAGGAAGACTGAGTTAAYAACGTTTAAGCCCTGATGTGGGAGGAGCTCTTTATTTGTTGACATGTTCATTTTTTACATGCCGATGTCTACCGGCYAAGGTGTGGTGCATTCAAAACACACTTCTGTGCACACATCCAACACACAAACACACACACAAACACACACACTGAACTCATGAGACGTCCCTCTGCTGAGAGACTAACCTCCTCCTCTCTCCTCCTCATACTTACTGCTGCTGGCCACGGGGGCCTGCTGGGGAACAGGGGAGGGGGTCTTCTTTGGGGAGCCCCCGTCAGACATGGCAGTGTAAGAGGGGGGCGAGGAGGAGGATGAGGATGAGGATGAGGTGGCGGTGGGGGTCTGCTGCTGGTACGCCTGCTGCTGCTGCTGCTGCTGCGGTGGCTGCTGCTGCTGAGGGTGGAAAGTGGATTGGCTCTGAGGCTGGAGGCTGGGGGCGGGGCCTGGGGCGGTCTGACCTATCAGAGGAGGCATGGGGACGGCCTCGCAGTACTGCGGGGTGAGGGGGAGATGCTGAGAGCGGGGGGAGTAGGAGTCGTCTGGCTGGCCGTTGGAGTGAGGGTGGGCGTACTGGTGGGGGCCCGTCACAGCGCTAGGATCGAGAGGAGGGGGCTTCATCCTAGTGCTGACAGACGGGAGGGGGTGGGCTACGGGGAGGGCCGGCTGCTTTACGGGCATGGCCATCATTACCCCAGGGGACGAGGATGGGGGACACTGGCTGTACATTTGCTGCATGTGGGAGGCGGACCAGGTGCCGTGTTTGGGGGGGAGCATGATGTCCTGCTGCTGCTGCTGGAGGTGGCGGGCCGCTGTCGGGGGAGACAGGGGGATCTGACGGACCTGTCGGCCCTGGGTGCCCACTCCCGCCTGGACGGGGGAAAAGGCCGAGGCGAGCGAGGTGGACAGCTGCGAGGAGAGCTGGGCCTTGTCCCTAGCGGCCCCCGCCTCTCTCTCCTGCGAGGGAGACATGGAGGCAGAGGAAGGCGGGGAGGAGGAGGAGGTCACGCGGACGTAGGAGGGCGGCAGCGTGTTAGCTCTGAACTGTCTGTACTCGGGAGGGGTGTCGGGGTGGGCGGGGGGGTGGGACACCTTATACTGGAGAGTGGACACGACTGCGACGGGGCAGAGGAGAGGGGGAGAGAGAGAGAGAGGCAGACAGAGGCAGAGGAGATGCAGACGGTAGGAAGGAAGGAAAAGGGCAACAAACAAAGGAGAACAGAAAAGAGAAAAACGTGAGAATAATGAAAAGCAACTGAACAAATCAAGCAAGTAAACGATGAGAAAAAACCCAACTTCAAAAAACAGAAGCCGACGAGCAAATCAAAGAGTCGAAAATATTGTTAAAAAAAACAAAAAACAACAAAAGAACAAGCAGCAGAATGCAACATGACTGAGCCATGACCAGAAAGCATGTGGCATTCCCCCCCCCCAACAGTAGCTGGAAGAGCGTGATGGCGGTAGAGCATGTTGCAGGGACACAGGGTGGGGGGGCTGAGATAACCAGCAACATCAGGGACAGGGGAGGATGTTTAAGTCTGTGTGTGCGCTTTAAAGAGCAGACTTGAACATTTCTGTGTGTGCATGGATAAAGACTGGGGAGTCGCAGTAAGGRGGGAAAACAAACCACAGCAGGGAAYCCTGTTGTACTGAGGAATTTCTGCTAATCATTAATAATGAGTTCACCTGTTTGCTTTGGGAARGTTACGAGTGCCTGACCTGCTCAGGTAAAAGCTGAGCAAATAGCTACTTTGTTTCTGTCACGACTACTTATTGATGGATGACATTCGTTTTTTATTRATTTATCAAKTGTTTTGTTAGGGATGTCCGAGTCGCTCGGATCGTGTAACATGCAGTTTCTATCACCTGTTTGTTTGCACCTGTGTGTGGGTTAGGAAGAGTTTATATAGCAGGGTGTGTGTGTGTTTGTTCAAACCTCACCTGATCCAGACGTCCGTCGCTCACGCTCCTTGTGCGCCTGCATCTGATGCTGCTCCATCATCCTATCAAGTGCAAGGATGTCACTGCGCGTCAAGCTTAAACGTGCAGTTTTACACCAGCGTCAAACACACAAACAGTAACGGTACGGTTTGATTTTTGTTCCATCCTGTCATCGTGCATCAAAAGYTTTASAGAAAACACTTTTTTWAAATAGAACGTTAGAAATTCACTCTCTCTTGTCCACGCTGATCCTGTAAAAGTGAATTTTCCAGCTGATTCAGCTTGTAGAGGCAGAGGTGTTAGACAGGAAAAACCCAACTCTTACTCCTCCAGGACACGTGACTGAAGACACTTGAAGACTGAGCAGACCTGTGGGAATTTAACAGGAACACTGCTACGTTTTCGTTTTTTAAAAAAAATATTAGCTTTTTGTTAGCTTTTTATTAGCTTCCCCCTTTTTGAATATTAAACCACAACGTTTGTTTAAAGCTGCACTTTAAATCGTTTGAGCATCGTCATCGCAGTGTGCGCAACATATAGTTCCCACAAGCTAGCCATTGTGACAGTGGTCCAGTAAACTCCGTTAGCTATGAGCAGTGTAACAAAGGCTTTGTTTTTCAACATTTTTTCCTTTTTTTGTGAGCTATGGTTTCATCAAAGGCTGTATCACGTTACAGAGACACAATAGTTTTGTCATTAAATAGCAACCAAGGAAAGATTTGCATTTATTGCTGTTATGGATGATCTATGATCCTTGAAGTCTTAGGACACTTTCAATCGAAGAGATGTGAGGACACTAAAACTAAAGAACAAAATTCTGATCACAGGCAAGTGAACACTGTTGTTTCGTCCACGACTGTAACTAATATATTTGCTTTTAGATGAAACACTACGTTGGTCTTTATTTCAAGTCTCAAATTAGCATGAATGATTTAAATTAATAWGAARATTTTTACAAGAACAGAAATGTGTATTAGGATGTAATCACTTGGTGTTCAGTTTGAGTCTCTGTTCTGACGGAATCAGTTTTGTTACTTTTAGAACCGTTTGTCCTTACTACTAAAAAAGTGAAAAGCAAAGCTCTCGATTTATCAGTCGGTCTATGGTCATGAGCTTTGGGTAGTGACTGAAAGAACGAGATCGCGGATACAAGCGGCTGAAATGAGTTTCCTTCGCAGGGTGGCTGGGCTCTCCCTTAGAGATAGGGTGAGAAGCTCAGTCATCCGAGAGGGACTCAGTAGAACCGCTGCTCCTCCACGTCGAGAGGAGCCAATTGAGGTGGCTCAGGCATCTGGTTAGGATGACTCCTGGACGCCTCCCTGGTGAGGTGTTCCGG